GAAAAGTCCATATCCCTCAGACTCACCATACCACACAATGCTTTAGGCATTTTGCCGCAAAGATTGTTATGCGACAGGTTCAAACTCTCCAAATAAGCGAGGGCCCCCAACGACAAAGGGATCGCCCCCGACAACCTATTGTTACTGAGGTCCAAGAAATATTGCAACCTCTTTAATCCGCTTATTTTGTTCGAAATCTTCCCTGTTAAACGGTTACTGCTCAAGTCGAGGCCTAGTAAGTGAACCAGATTCCCAACTTCTCCTGGAATTTTACCCAGGAGTTGATTTCGCGACAGATCAATGTACTCAACCATTCTCAACTGCCCCATTTCCCTTGGAATTTGTCCTTTCAAAAGATTGCCGCTGAGATTGAGACTAAGCAATCGGTTCAGCTTTCCAAGTTCAACCGGAATGTTGCCCGTCAATTTGTTTGAGCTCAAGTCTAGAACGCGGAGTTTTTCGAGACTACCTAACTCAGCTGGAATAGGGCCTGATATGTTGTTGTGACCCATCCGAATATCCGTGATGCTCTCACTCTTTCTCCATTTGGGCGTGATCTGGCCGGTGAACCGATTCCAACTCAGGCTTAAGAACTCGAGTTGCGGATGAATGCCAAATGCATCTGAAATGTCACCAGATAACTGATTCATTTCGAGACGCACCCTCTTTAGGCCTCGGCAGCTCCTGATACAGTGCGGCAAGGGGCCCGAAAATCCATTCATGTTTAAAGTGAAGGTTTCCAAGGCTAGGCCGTAGCATAAGTTTGGCGGCAGAAGGCCTGAAAAGCTATTGTTTGACAAGCTTATGCCAGCCAGTTGGGAACTCTTCTTTCCCAGGTCTTGAGGGATGGGTCCTGAGAGATTGTTGTTGAAAACGGATAAGTAAGTAAGCTTAGAAAGGTTGGAGATAGAGTTTGGTAAGGACCCGCTCAACCGGTTTTGGCTGAGATCAAGAACTTCGAGGGAATTCAAATTCCCGATTTCAGGCGGAATATTTCCGGTGAGTTCGTTGGAGAAAAGGCTAATGTGTGTGAGATTCTTGAGGTTTCTGATGGTCGAGGGTATTTTTCCAGAGAGGCGATTGGACGAAAGGTCTAGCTGCAAGATTTTCTTTAAAGTCCCTATCTCTGGTGGGATTTCATCCGACAAATTGTTGCTGTAGATGTAGAGGAGGTTGAGGTCTGTCAGTTTTCCTATCTCTGATGGAATTCTGCCGCTTAAATTGTTATTCTGAAGCTGCAGTGATGTCAGTTTGGCCCAGTTGGTGAGAAAGCGAGGCGGGATTGTGCCGGACAAATCATTATCCGATAATCCCAGTTCGAATAAACTGGCTAAGTTGGATAATGACAGAGGCAAAGGCCCAGAAAGGGAATTCTTGGCCAGAGCTAAATAAGTCAACCTAGTGCATTGACCGAGCTCGACAGGTATTGTCGAATTCAACATGTTCATGCTAAGGTCGAGCCGCTTTAGATTCATGAGTTGCCCTACAGAGGATGGTATTTTTCCTGCAAAGGAATTGTTCTGCAACTCGAGAATTTCAAGATTACGTGGTAAGCTAGAGGAATCAGGTACTTCGCCTGAGAAGAGGTTATCTGCCAATCGGAGGTCGATTAAATTTGATAGCTTGAAGATATACTTGGACAATTGGCCTTCAAAGGAATTCATGCTGAGGTTAAGATATTTAAGCTTAACCAAATTACTGAACAAAGATTCAGGAATACAACTAGACAAGCTGTTGCTTGACAAATCGAGATAAGTGAGGTTGGGACATTTCAAAATGAAAGATGGAAATTCGGACGTGAGCTCGTTAAGGTTAAGATCAAGATGGCGCAACACGGGCATGCTTTGGATTATCGACGAATCGGGTACCTCCAGGTAATTGGAGGCAAGATTCAGAAACTCCAACTTCCGAAGATTGCCGATTTGGGAAGGGATCACTCCGTTGAGGTTGTTGTTGTAGAGGCTCATTTGATTGAGATTAGTCAAACTGAAAATCTCTTTGGGGATAGAGTTTCCGAAACTGTTACTGCCCAAGTCCAATCGAGTGAGCCTGGCGAGGCTGCCAATACGGGCCGGAATCGAGTCATTGAAATTGTTGCCACTGAGGTCAAAAATTTCGAGATAAGGGAATGAGGCGATATTGAAGTGATCTAAAGTGCCGGTGAGGGTTGCGTATTTTAAGTCGATTTTGGAGATGGAAGTTGGGTTAGCACGGCAGGTGATGCCAGCCCAGTTGCAAGTGTTCTCTATGTTTTTTGGGGACCATGAGTTGAGATGTGGAGATGGGGATAGAGTGCTCTTCCATTTCAGTAGAGCATCAGCTTCTTGTGGTGGTGGTGTTGTCGTTGGGGAGGAAATTGTTTTGGGAGGGAAAAGAGTGAGGAGAAAGATGTGGAGAAAGGTGAATAAGTAGGTTGTTTTTGCCATGACTCAAGTTTTATTTTGGCTTGTGGCAAGTAGTGATGAAACTACTAGTACTACATTGGTCCATATATATTGAATATACACTCATCCTGTAGCAGACAAGAAAATAAAGAAAAATGATGGTTCATACAGGTTAAAGGGTTTGAAAATTTAGCAAAAGTCTCAATATTTGTTCAAAAAGTTAACTTTTTTTTTTTTTTGTGGTAATGGTGCTTAAACAAAGCAAAAGATGAAATCTAGCCATCTTTTTTAAAAAGTTGAAATATAACCATTTTGGGTAGCAAAAATACCAAATTGCCCTTTTTTCACTTTTTTCACTTCTTTCACCTTTTTCAATTTTTTTCACCTTCTTCAATTTTTTAGCCCGTCTCCCGCTTTCAAAATTTTACAGAAGTTTCTCCCTCTCTTTGCTGCTTTCATTTTTTTTTCATCTCTGGCGATTTCGAGTGCGAAAATTTTAAAAACATTTGCGGACATCCGGCGATTCCGGGTGCGATTTGTATCTCTGGCGAAAGAAGGTGAAAATTTTTGTTTTCTTTTTTGTGTTGCGATTTTTAGGGTTTTTTTACTTAAACTGTAGATTTGTATTGTCAAAATATTAACAAATTTATTTAGCGGAAGTTAGTAAATTTTCAGTAGCACCTCAGAATCACCTTTATTCCCTCTGTTTTTTTTT